ATCACTATAATTATTATAGATGACATTGTTGTTGTTGTTGCTTGTTACATTGGTGCAGTCTGACTCCTCTTGCATGCTGCATTCGTAGCAAGAAATCAAAGGATAGTCGAGTAGCAGCCTCATTGATGATGATAACGATCCTGATGGAATTATGATGATGATGATGACGGTGGTGGTAGTGATGATAGTATTCATGATGGTAATGGTGATGATGGTGGTGTTGGTGGTAATGATGATGATTTCGTTGACAAAAAGTATTAATTATTATCGATCGATGTTTCTATTATTAATTCAAAAAAGTAGAACCTCGCCAAAGATAAACTCATGAGCCTATCTATATATATAGAAAGATAAAAAGAGAGAGAATGAGAGAGAAAAGAGAGAGAGAGAGAAAGAGTAAAATAAATATAAATAAATATAATTTTTGTTTGCTGGTTGTTTAAGTTTGAGAAAATGTTGTCAAATTTTTATCCCAACGTATTTAATAATTTTCCATTTGAAGTTTGGACTTTGAGTGGGGATGATGATGATGACGATGATGACAACAACAACAACAACAATAATAATTATTATTATTATTATTATTATTATTATCTGTGTCGAAAACTCTGGGACCGAAAATTTCGAGCCCCCAGGAAAAATGTGACACCTAACACTTATAATAATTTTGTTGATATTTTGTTGTCGCTGTCGGTGAGGGTGTTTTTCATTTTAGAATATGCATCTTTAACTCGGTTAGCAAGATATAACAACGACAAATTGTTTATTATGAATTGATTTATAACTGCATCTCTTCGTTTCGACATTGGAAAAGTTTTAACAACAATTTGAAAGATAAAATTAATAATAATAATAATAATAATAATAATGACAACAAAGAACAACAAACCATAGATGATAAATAGAGTGATGGAATCTTGCGTAGTCAACAAACTATAGATAATAAATTCTAAACAACAGGGTGTTAATTGGGTCCACAACGAATCAATAAACAATGGACCATAGATAATAAATAATAGACAGAGTCCATTGAATTGAGTCTATGAATAATTAATAAGTAATAAACCATAGATAATAAATACAAAACAAACAAGGCGATATTTGAGGAATAATCGCAGTTTTCCTACTGTCAGACCTTGCACTTCCGCTAAATATTTTCGCGAAATGATGAATATCGAATTGAAAAAAAGAATTCGCGACTACTTTTTCTGTGGTAGTAGTAGCAGTAGTAGTAGTAGTGACAACAGTAGTAGTAGTAGTAGTAGTGGTGGTAGTCGTACTAGTAGTAGTAGTATCAGTTGTTGAAGTATTATAGAGCAAATATCTATCGATGAACCAATCATAAATGTTCGCATTGATTATGTTAATTAGGTCAACGTCATCATCCAGTGGCTGGTCGAGAATTTTATTGTGGGTGGAGCTTGCATAATTAATAGGTTTACGTTCTGTGGTTATGAATAAACTGCAGTAAATTATTTGCTGCTGTTGCCGTTGCGTCCATTTAAATTTTATTTGTTCTTGGGTTGAAATGAATCGCAAATATTCTTTGTTGCTTTTGATGACGTCATTAGTTATTCTTCTCAAATCTATGTATTTAATTTTTTTGTTGCAGAGCGGAAATGTGCATTGGCATTCAATTTTGATGTTGATGTTGTTGATGTCATTGTTGTTGTTGTTGTTGCTGCTGATGACGTCAAAAGTGTTGATGTTGTTGTTGCTACTAGCTCCCAGACAACCTTTCTGAAGGGCAAACATACCTACAAATTAAATCCAACAATAAATTTTTAAATGTTACATTAGTTTTATTGTATTATTAACGTTATCACATAACATCAACAGACCTTACATCAACATTATGGTAATATTATTACATTAACATCATCGTACCTAGGTGGAACTGCAATCCGACAAAGCAGCTGTCGTATTCAGGGTCTCCGCACAAATCAAGACCATTCTTATAGCCGCACATTTCATCATAATTCATAATGACGTCATCGTCGTTGTTGTTGTTGTTGATGATGTTGTTTTTGTTGTTGTTGTAGTTTGTAAAAGTGAAATAGCATTTGTTACAGCCCATAGTCGCGTGTCCTTCAGCTTTGTTGTTGCAGCAACTAAAAAACATCAGCCCTACTAAAAAAAGAGTTGATGTTGCTGTCATACACATGTTCTTACATATGTTATCATAAGCCTTGTTGCTGTTATGATTGTTATTTTACTATAATTGTTATTATTATTTTTTTTGATGGTCCGGTTAAACTTCTTTAAATTGAGCAGGTAAGTCCAATGCGTTATACGGATAGTTAGGTACTGAAACTTCTAACTGTAAATAAAATTATTTTATTAATAATAACAATAATAATAATGATATTATTATTATTATAACTATAAGCAAATTCAGTTAAAAACAAACACAGTAAATGGATTTTGGTTAGTGTGAAAAAAATTCCTATCATTAAAATTGATAAACAGTGCTTTTACTTGTGTGAAAGGATTGCCGTGCCTGCCTTGCAGAAGTATCGTATCGTTTCCAGTTGTATTTGTATCGTTTCGAATTGTACCGTATCGTATCGTTTCGCATTGTTTTTGTATTTATATGCTAGCTTATTGCATTGTATCGCGTACAGGTATAAAATCACCGTTACTAATTTTACCACAGATCCGGGAAACAAGTTACAAGCCCGACATCTGATGAAAGTTTGCTAAAAAAAAGTTTCCAAATCGCGCGCTACATAAATGCTGACGACCAAGACGACAAAGTGGTAGTGACGACAACGACGACGATGACGACGACGATGATGATGATGATGATTGTTTCAAAAAACTTTATAAATGGCTGACTTAGCGCGCGCCTCTGCTGCATTTATTCCTGTTTGAATCCACTTTAATTCGAATAAATACACCATATAATAATAATAGTAATATAAATAATAATATTAAAAATAATAATAATAATATAATAATAATAATAATAATAATAATAACGACAACAATAACGACAATAATAATAAAAATAAGATAAAGGCAACCATAATTATTCCGACAATCATTAATTTATTAACTCCAGAAAAATCTCAATTTCAGTAGGATTCTCTCTCTTTAAAGTTCATCAGACTTCAGAGGTTTGTATGATATAAACGTCACATGGAACAAATTTATAATTACTAATTTAATATTAATAAAAATACTATAAATAATAATAATAATAATTTCTATTATTTATAATACTGACGACGACGATGATGATGGTGATGACGATGATGATGATAGTGATGACGTTGATAATGATATGATAATGATCTAGCTAATAGCCAAAAAGATGGCGACGATGATGAAGATCATCATCTTCTGTTTCGCACTCTTGCAACATTCGTTGGCTGAGGTTCGTTATCACTATAATTATTATTATTTATTATTTTTATTTATTATTATTTGTTAATATTAGTTGTAGTAGTAATAGAAGTAGTAGTAGCGGAAGTAGTAATAGTGGTAGCTACATCAACGGCAGCAGTAGCAGTAGTAGCAGCATTACTTGTGTCGGTAGTTGTAGTAGAAGTAGTATTATAATCATCATCATTACAATCATTGAATCGTTACAATCATCGTCTATGTCATCGTCATCATCATCATCATCGTCAAAAATTGTCACTAAACGAATCAAAGACACTAAGCCGTCTGATCAAGCGAAAAAATCTTATTTATAACGAGCTTTCCCATTGGCTGGTTGATTGCCATTTATAAATAAAACCGTTTGCTATTGGTGATCAAATGCCGTACATTTAAAACCCTGCTTTTCTATTGGTTAAAGAGATTTTTTATATTTTTGGTTGAATGCCATTTATAGATAAAACCGTTTGCTATTGGTGGATTAAATGCTGTACGTTAAAATAAATCCCCTTTTTTCATTGGTTGACGAGTTGAAGGAAATTTTTATTCTATGTTACAATGATTTTTTAATGGTTTCGATTTATAACCCTGTTTTTTATTGGTCAGTTCAAATGCGTTTGTTTTTAACGCTTATTTTTATTGGTTGACATTAATAACTTCTTTCTCTCTCTCTCTCTCTCTCTCCTCTCTCTCTCTCTCTCTCTATCTGTCTGTTCTTCCATCTGTTACTCCCCTCCTCTCTCTCTTCCTCCATCTCTTGCTCTCTCTTTCTCTTTATAATACAACACGCTTTCCAATTGGCTGGGAGGCTTCAATTTATTTATTACCAGCTTTACTATTGGCTATTTGAGTGTCATTGGTTTCAGAGATGTTCTGATTAATGCCTTAGATAAATATTCGCTGATGCTTCCATTTAGATTCTTTGGTGTTACGCACGCACGTGTGGGACTGTATGTATGTGTGTGTGTGTGTATGTCTATGTAAGTGTGTGTGCATATGTGTGTGCGTGTGTGGTATACTCTGTGCAAAATTAAGAATAAATGTATGTATTGGAAATGTGGTTATCTTTTTTTAATTTTTTTTAATGTCCATTCATCCGGTTGTCAAAACATTTGCCATTCACTCGCTCATTCATTCATTCGTTCATTCATTCATTCATTCGTTCATTCATTCATTCGTTCATTCATTCATTCGTTCATTCATTCATTCATTCGTTCATTCATTCATTCGTTCATTCATTCATTCATCTATCCGCTCTCATTTCATGGGATCAAAAAGGCATAACTTACTTTCATATCTATGTAAATGTGGATGTTTTAAACTTATATAGCGCAAACATTTTTTGTATATTTTTAAAGCGCTTAACTTTTTACTTTCGTCTGATTTTATGGGGCTTAACCTTTTATTGCCTTTCCATTTTCTAGCGCTTAATTTTTTGTGTTTGAACATTTTGCGAGGATATCATGAGAATGAACATTTCAGCAGGGCGATTGATGTTATCAAAAAACACCACGTCTCTATGTGAGCGTGTGCTGGTGTGTGTGTGTGAGTGTATAGATACAGTAAGCTGAAAAAATTGACCAAGATTTTTGGCAAAAGTGAACCTTGAGCTATTTCGGCGTTGGACAGCCTCCAAATGTTTGTCTCGCCATTATAGAAACCCTCTCAAAAAAAACTTTCTTTGCCAAAAAGAGTTGTTCCAATTCTGATGAATGCTTTCCGAGATACCAGCCTACAAAGGTTTGAACATCAACCATACATTTACGGACTGATTTTCATGTTTTATCAACTTAATTTTGAAGCATTTATGCAAGTTGGTAGATGGCAGGTATATTTTGAAGTATGTTTTATCTACCTAAAAAAGAAATGTAAAAAGTCCCCTGATGGACAAAGGAGGATCATTGAATGACTGATTCATCCACCCATCCATTTTCACCCATCCATTTATTCGTTCATTCATTCAGAGGAGAGACCAAGACTACATACTGAATGGATTGTTCAGAGATATATATCAAGGTTTCATAACATTATTATTTATTATCATTATTTATTGTTATTTTCATTATTATTATTATTATTATTATTATTACCATAGCTCCGCCCCCAATCCAGTCACCGATTCCAATCCACTGCGGCAAATCCAAGTACCACAGCCACCACCGTTCGCTATATGGCGAAGGCACATCCATGAAATTCCCTAAAATTAGTAAGAGAATCGTTGGGGGCCAGGTTAGTGAATCAGGAGAATGGCCGTGGCTGGTCAGTATGCAGTTGAGGTTTGAAAACAACACTGTCACTCACATGTGCGGCGGATCTCTTATATCTGATCTTTGGGTCCTGTCTGCTGCCCATTGTTTCGAGTTGGTCTATTTCGTTTGCCGTCCAGTGCTTTTTGGACTGTTTATTAATCTACGTAATCGCTATAATCATAACAATAATCATCATCAGCAGCATCATCATCATCAGCATCATCACCACCACCGACCGACAGGAAGTCCTCGGCGCCATTTTTATCGAACAACCCACGTGATTGGACGGTTAGAATTGGTGAGCACTTCATGTTCGAGGATGGCGACGAACAAGACGAGGTGGAAGTCAGCAAGATCATCTTCAACCACAACAGGGACTGCTGCTCCGGTCGGTCCCGTCTCAGTTTTATTCATATTATTTTTATTCATATTATTATTCTTCATATTATTATTATTGAAGTGGCCTACTTTAAAAATGCGTTTTTGGGAGTAAGTTTTAATCAATCAATGAAACAAACAATCAAACAGCAAACACGTACACGCATACACACCTTTTCTCCCTTACATACACATTCTTTCTCTCTCTCTCTCTCTCTCTCTCTCACACATACACACACACACACACTCTTTCTTTTTTTCTCTCTCACACACACGCACACACACACACACACCGAAACAGAAAACCGCACGACGGAATACGACATCGTCTTAATAAAGTTAGCGAGACCCGTAAAACTGAACGAAGTCGTGAACGTTGTTTGTCTTCCGGGCTACAATGAGCCCTTGAAGCCAGGGACCCCCTGTTTGGCAGCAGGGTGGGGTCACATGGAAGAAAGTTTGTATGGGGGGAGGGGTAATTTTGACCCTTTTCCTGTTTTCTCTTTCTCTCAATCCTAAACAAAAATCAAAACTTCTCCAAAGGAAATGATGAATGAATGCAATACTTTAAAATTTGAATCGAAGCTAGTATTGTAGGTGCGCAGTGCAGTTATTTATGAAAATAATAATTAGTCTACGGCTCACTCAATCAATCATTCACTTTCATTCATTCACCTATTTTTTCACTAATTCATTCATTTACAAATTTACCTGGTTTTTAATTTACTAATTCGCTTGTACACTTACAACCAAAATCAGAATATTAAAACAAAATTTGTCTCCAAACGCCAGAGGGCCAGATCTCGGAGACGGTTAGGCACGTGTTAGTACACACGATCGACAACGACTTGTGCAGTACGTGGTACACCAGTTTGGAGAAGGGGTTCCAGGAGCTGACGGACAACATGCTGTGCGCTGGCGAGGAAGATGGCGGGAAAGATGCGTGCCAGGTGAATTAACGAATGAATGTGAATTAATAAATTAATTAATAGATGAATGAATGAGTGAATTAATAAATTAATTAGTGGATGAACGAATGAGTGAATGATTGAGCGAGTGACTGTTATGTCGGAGAAGACGGACCTAAAGATGCTCGTCACATTATATACACAGGTCAAGTGAATGAATTGTTGGACGAATGAGTGAATTAATTCATTAATAAATGAATGAACTTAATGAACGATTAATAGAATGAATAAAATAATTATGAAAAACTAACCAACTCAGCCGAAAACATCCAACCAAAATATAATATTGAAACATACTTTTTGGCAAATCCTACAAAAACAATAACATTAAATAGTAAGGTACTTTAATGTAAGTCATCACAAAATACAACAACAACATCCTTCATCACCAGTACGACTCTGGCGGCCCCCTGGTGCATTATAACGAGCAAGAAGACAGATGGATCGTATTCGGTATCGTCAGTAACGGATACGGATGTGCCAGATCCCGATATCCCGGTATTTATACCCGGGTATCGTCATTCATTCCGTGGATCGAAAAAACCGTTAAATTCGAGTAATCGGTACTAGCTGGATGTACCGTGAAGATGAAGAAGTGAGAGTGACAAAATGATGAATGAATGAAGATTAATAAATGAAAATGATGGAGTGAAGTGAGTTTAAAGGAAATGAACTTATCGAGTGTGAATGAATGATGAACGAGAATGATTGAGTGACAATGGGAATGAATGAATGAATGAGTAATAGAAAGATTGGTTAAATAAAATCGTGAAAACGATAGAAGGAATGAAGGTATGAAAATGAATACGGATTGACGGAAGGATATAGAAAGATTTTAGACTTGAAGATGATATGGTAATAACTGATGAATGTGATGAATACGAAACATTTGATCAAATAATTAAGTTGATGCTTCATTATGATTAAAAAAAATTATCACAAACAATCAACATTAGAATCGACATTAAATTGCGTTGTAATAAAAATGGCATTTCTGTTTTGCTGTCTTTGTGAAATTCTCTCTGGAACAAATCATAAATAGATGCAACACTTTAAAAACATTCATTCATTCAATCAATCAATCAATCAATCAATCAATCAATCAATCAATCAATCAATCAATCAATCAATCAATCAATCAATCAATCAATCAATCAATCAATCATTCACTCTCATAATAACCAGTCACATTACAAATGAACTAAAAACCACAAGTCTAATTCATTTTATTCAAAATGTCAACAGTATTTTTTAAAACTTAACGCAACTACATCAATCAATTTATAATTTGTTGGAACGAACGTATAAAAACGACTGAATAAATTAGAAAAAGAATAAAATGGATGAATGAATGAATGGTCGATTGAATGAATGATTGAATGTGTAAATGAATGTGTGTACATATGAATGAATGAATGATACAGAAAACAAACTTTGAAAGAATTAAAGTGTAAGAATGAACGAAAACAACTTTTAAACCCACTAGAAAAACATTTGAAACTGTTCAACATCGATCAATTAAAATTAAAAGTGATTAAAAACATTTTTTTAAAACAAAATAAATAATAACATTTTTCTCTACCAAATTCATATTTTATAATTTAAACTTTCATCAATTCATCAACCAATAAAAAGAGACCTCCAATATTTCAAACCAGCCACTCAGAGATTTCCAATATTTCAAGCCAGTCAATAAGGGATCTCCAATATTTCAAACCAGCCAACGAGAAATCGCGAATATTTCAAACCAGCCAATAGGAAACCTTTAATATTTAAAAACAGCCAATCAACCGTGGGCAGCATCATCTTCAACAAAATCTTGCGCCTCTTCTTGACTGACACACTCAACATGGCTCACCTGTGCAATTGTAAGTTATTATATTATAATTTAATTATTATAGTTTTTAAAAAAACATTTTTTAACTTTTCATTCAAAATTCAGTAACTTTGGGCTGAGAAAAGCGAAAATGACAACAAAAAGTGATTATTATCTTTAGTTTCTAATTTGTATTTTAGAAAATTTGAATATAATTATGAATATAATTATGAATATAATCATGAATATAACTATACAACCTTGTTTCTGAACTTGACCCCGTAGAACTTGTCTGCATGCTCCAGTAGTTCTGGCCTGAAGGTCGTCGTGATGAATTGTGCATCTTTGCTCAATATGTGAATCATTTCTGCAGTGAGTGAATGAATGAATGAATGAATGGATGGATGGATGGATGAGTGAATTATTGGTAAATGAAAAAATAATAGAGATGGATTGGCTATTGAATAAATGAACAGAAAAGCAAGTGACAAATTATTGGATGAATGAATGTTTGACGGATAAAAAATAGACGCATTATTGGATGAATAAAATTAATGAATGAAAAAAATGAATGAACGACTGAATGAAAGAAAGAAAGAATGATCGATTGAAAAAAATAAGGACAAACAGCAAATAAGAACAAATAAGCAATCCACACGGCCAGCCAACCAATCACAAACATGTTCTTCAGCCAGCCAGCCAATCACAACCGACCAACCAGCAACAGCCTTCCTGTGATCTGAGTCGAGAGCCTGATCAATTTCATCAAAGAGATAGAAAGGGGCCGGGTCACACTTTTGAATGGCAAATATCAAAGTTAGAGCAACCAATGATTTCTGACCTCCGCTCAGCTGTTTCATATCTCTCATCTCGGCGTTTTGACCAGTAAATGAAACCTAGGAAATGAATGAAATTTTTATAATTCACTCATTCATATACTTTATTCATTCATTCATGCATTTCTTCATCCAACCATCAAACAATTAAACAAACAAACAAACGAACGAACAAGAACCTTAATAAGGATACCACTGAACTGATCAGAGAACGGATTTTTTTCTTGAGTACCATCATTTTCATCATCATCCTAATCACAAATGAATGAATGAATGAATGAATGATGGATAACGAATGATGGATGATAGGTAAAAAGATGATAGATGTACAAATGATAGATAGGTAGATAATCAATGATATCACGCATGAACGTTAAAGCCCTTACATGAATATCAAAGAAAAATAATAAACTTTATAAGTTAGAGCACATGAATATTAATGAGACCACATGAATATTAATGAGACCGCATGAATATTAATAAGAGCAAGTAACCAAACTGACCTCATTATTACCACCAAGGTCGTCTCGTTTCATAATTAGAACAGCATGACCAGACGGGACCAAAGATTTGAAAATTTCGGTGAAATATTTCGATACCTGGACGGTTATTGGATGGAAAAGGATAACTCGAATCAATTATTATTAATTAATTGGTTAATTAATTAATTAATTAAAGAATTAGTTGGTTAATTAATTACATAAGAAATTTTAAAACATGTAACATGTCAGTAACGAGAGTACGCCACACTAAAAACAACAAACACACAACAACAACAACAGCAACGCAACAACAACAAACACCTGTTTAAAAGTTAGCTGAAGTGCCTCGAACTTCCTCTGGTCGAGGTGATATATGAGGTCAAGAATGGACTGGTGGTCTCGAGTTAGCTCTTCGCGACGAGTGATCAACTTCTCCTTCTGCTCCGAGAAGCTTATGAATTGATCGAGGGCTTTTTTATTTACGTGGCTGTACTTCTTAAGTTCCTCGGTGCAGGTCTCCAGCTTTTTAAAGAGCTGTTTGTCGTTGGGAGAATGAGTGGGTATCATTATCAGTATCATTATCATTAGCATCATCATCATCACAACCATCATCATTAACATCGTCACGAATATCATCGTTACAGCCATTGGGTGATTGAGTTTGTTGGTTGAGTATTGTGTAGTTATCATCATCGTCATCTTCTTCATCGCCATCACAATCATCATCATTACCATCATCGCCATCACAATCATCACCACCTGTTTGCTCTGCAAGTCCTGATACTTATCAAATGCGTCGCCAGGCAATGATCCCAATTCTCTTATCTTCTTCAGGCATTCTTCTTTCTATCATTTCATTCATCCATCCAACCATCCGGGAATGAACGAGTGAATGAATGATTGATTGAGTGAATGCGTGAACATTGTGGATACGTTACAGAGAATGTTTGATTGAATGAACATGAGAATAAATCAAGAAACAAATTTTAAATGAACAAACTGATTCTAAGTCAACCAATCATTCATTCATTCATTCATTCATTCATTCATTCATTCATTCATTCATTCATCCATTCATTCATCCATCCATCCAACCTTTTTCAAGAGCAAACTCTGCTTGTTCGTCATCTTCTCTAGTTCCTTCGTGTCTTCGTTTATCTTCTCTTGGTGCTCCCTCTCGATATTCTTCCACATCTCCAGACTCTTCAGCATCTCCCTGTGCTCCTGGGCGCATCTATCTACCTGGCCGTCCAGTTCTGTGATTGGTTGGCGGGGAAAATGAATGAACGAAAGAATGAAACTGCGAATGAATGAAGGAGTGGTTAAATGGAAGGATGGATGGCGATATATGAGGCAATGAGTGAATGAACGAATGAATAAGAGTAAAGCACCTTTGACATTCTGTAAAGCTTCTGAGTGTCTTCTGTTAATCGTGTCTAGATCCACTTTTTGCAATTCCAGCTTCTGTTTCCTGTCAACCAAACCAATCAATCAACCAACCAAACAATCAACCAATCAATCAGTCAACCAACCAACCAACCAACCTATCGACATTCGTCATCTCCTGCAGATCAGTCTGCAGTCTTTCCAACTTCTTCAACAAATTATTCTCCAACATCAACTCCAATCTATTTTTCTCCGTCTCCAACTACATAGAAAAATAATAAAATAATAAAGTTATAACTATTTATAAGTGCATCTAGCCAATCAAAACACCACATGCTTTATTATTACCTGGTCCGTAATAATACTTATTAAGGACCAGGCCAATCAGAACGCCATATTTGTGTGCCTCCAGCCAATCACAACTCACTTTGACTCTCATATTGAGGGCTTCTTTATTCTCATTTGTCAGTTGTTGGATGAGGTCATTCAACCTATCCACCTCCTTCTGGTCGTCAACTGTCAACTGGGATAGCATGTCGGTGCCTATTTACGATTCAAAATAATAATAATTATTATTATAATTAATTATAATTGTAAAAATTATAATTAATTATACGACCTAATTCATTGTTGAAGGACGTGGCTGAAGTTTTCATGGATTCCAGGCAGGCCTGTAAGCTCGCTAAACTCCTTTCCTGAGATGTGATTGGTTGGTTGATTGATGGTTGTTCATTACGTGATTGGTTGATGGTTATTTATTAGGGATGCACCGAAAAGTGAATTTGCACGCATTGTCAAATAGTTGGTTCATTCACTATTCAACCAAAGTCCAAAGCTGGATACCAAAAAATCCAAAAATTTTTTTTAAATTTAATTTTTTTGCAATGAAAAAGAAGCACTGGAGAAACACATTCTGCAGTTTGAATAACGAATTTCCGCCAAATTTTCAGTTTAAAAAAAAACAACATTACTCATTTGAATAGGTTGAAAATATGAATTTATGTTTAAAAACAAGTTTTAAATTAGTAATTTTATAATATTTATTATTATTATTATTACTTTTGGAGCCCTGGAAGTTTCGATTCTTTGGGCCTCTTCCTTGTTCATTCTCAGATCAGCTCTCATCTTATCATATATATCCCTGTTTGTGATTGGTTCATTCAAAATTCAATGCAACGTGATTGGTCAGTTGAAATTTGTCATACATTTATGTGGTTATATAGTTACAGAATTGAGTCAAATGGAGGACTGAATTGTGATTGGTTGGATAAAAAAGAGTTGAGCAAGAGATGGAATGTGGTTTATTTGTTACAAAATTAGTTTAATGACAGGCGAGTTTGTTGAAAATTAAATTAAATTAAAAATAAATAGACATGGGCATGAATATCTGAGTCTGTCTGTATGTCTAACTTGTTCTTGCTATTCTTAGTCTCGGTCCTCTGCATCTCGCTCACCAATTGGTTGATGTCAGACTCAAGGGGTGGAGTCACAATGAGGTCAAGGTCATATTATATTCTCATCAGTACATCATCATCGTCATCATCATCGTCGTCGTCAACAACAACTAATCCTTACCCTAACCCAACAACATATACGTCATCACCATCATCATCATTATCAACAACAACGTCATCATTATCATCATCGTCATCATCATCATCATCATCATCATGACAAGTAGGGGAAGGATATCTTGTAGTTTCAGCTTGTGAGCGTCATACTCTCTCTCCTGCACCTGCAAACTCCTTAGACTCTCCAACTTTCCTGGATGAATGAATGAATGAGTGAATGAATGAATGAGTGAATGAATGAATGAATGAGTGAATGAATGAATAAATAAATGAATGAATGAATGAATGAATGAATGAACAAGTGTGAACGTATTACAAACGAACGAACGAAAGAAAGAACGAAAAAAATAAAACAAATCAATGAACGAACAAAAGGAAGGAACAAACAGATAAAAGAATAAAAAACCTCTTTGCAACTCGAGTCTTGATTTTCTAGTGTCGTAATAGCCACCAGTCAGCGCTCCTCTGCGACTCACCTGATCACCTGGAGTCATGATAATCATAATCATAATAATAATAAATATAAATAATAAAAAACAAATAATAACAATCATAAATAGCAATAACAATAACAATATATATAAATATTATGAACAGCAGAAGCCAGCCAACCATCAAGAGTGATGCAGTCCAAGTTCTGCGTCCTAGCAATCTGAGTTGCAACCTCCATGCTCCTATTAATTATTATAATTATTATTTTAAATTATTACTCATTATTATTATTATTATTTATTATTATTATTTATTATTATCTATTATTATTTATTATTATTTATTATTATTATTTAGTTTTTGAATAGTAAATGGTACGAGGAGTGCGTGGGTGATATAAAATTTATTAATTCATTTATTGAATTTATTCACTCACTCACTCACTCACTCACTGTCTAATTCGTAAATTCATTCATTCATTCATTCAATCGTTCATTCATTCATTAATTCAATCGTTCATTAATTCATTCATTCAATCGTTCATTCATTCATTCAACCTGCATATAAGAGTTTTGCTGAAGACATGTTTGATGGCTCTATCGTATTTCGGTTCGTATGTCAACTTTTCAATCATGGGTATGGCATCCTGATTTTGATTGGTTGATTGTGTGATTGGCTGATTACGTGATTGGCTGATTGTGATTGGCTGATTGATTGTGATTGGTTGATTGATTGGTGGACTATGTGACTGATTATTTGATCAATTTATCGACTGACTACAAGTTAATTGGTTGCTTATGTGTGGTTAGTTTGTTGATTGAATTAGTATTTTATTCACTGGTCATTTTGAGTGGGTTGATTGAGCACCATCACCATCATCATCATCATCATCGCCACTACTACCATAACCACAATCATCATCATCACCATCATCGCCACTACTACCATGACCACAATCATCATCATCATCATCATCATCGCCACTACTACCATGACCACAATCATCATCATCATCATCATCGCCACTACTACCATGACCACAATCATCATCATCATCATCGCCACTACTACCATGACCACAATCATCATCATCATCGCCACTACTACCATGACCACAATCATCATCATCATCATCACAACTCACGCTGGTTTCGGGATAGTAAGTCTCCTGGACTTCCAACCTATTCAACGGCATGAACGTTATCTCACCAGGCAATCTCAGCCTATAATTATTATTTATTACTATTGTTATTATTATTGTTATATATTGATATTGATAATTATTATTCATAAATATCCAACTTACCGGTTCATTTCTTGAAGAATCTTCGTACCGGTCCTATCATTATCCACAATGTGGTGGAACAATCTGGTGAACACACATCATTATCATCACCACCATTATCATCATCAAAATCACCTCTATTGTCATCATCACCATCACCACCATTATGACAACATCATCATCACCACCACCATCATCATCACCACCACCATCATCATCACCACCATCGTCATCATCATCATCATCATCACCACCACCTATTTCCGGCCGTGACTTCGACGGCCGTGAAGAAGGTCTTGTCGCACTCGAAGTTCTCGATGAGCGTCCCGAAGTATCCATCGACAACCTCCTGGTACTTCTTGTTGTCCTGGAAGAACTGCAGGACCCTCTGGATGCTGTCTATGCCGTTCAGCAGGGCCTGTTGTGGGATGGGGGGCGGGTGGGCTGACAATTGATCGATCGATCAATCAATCAATCATTCAATCGATCAATCAATCAATCGATCGATCGATCGATCAATCAATCAATGAACCTTTCCAGTTATAGATCTAAGGGCCTGCTCTTTCTTATTGAGGTCCTCCTTCAGTGAACTTATCTGCTGCTGCATCGTGCTCTCAATTCGCCACAGGTTGCTTGGTTGGTTGGTTGATTGATAAATTGATTGATTGGTGGATGGATTGGTTGAAACTAATTAAATAACCAACCGACAGACAAGCAGATCGTATTGGTGGACTGATTATAAATGGGTGGACAGCCTTATTAATGATTTGATTCAAACAACCAACCAACCGACCAACTAATCATCAATCAGTCAACCATCTACCGGTCAATCAATCAATCAATCAACTAATCAATCAATCAACCGATCAATGAACCAACTTTCTTTCGTTCTGCTTAGCATCTTTCTGCTTCTTCATCTCGTAGAATGACTTATTGTTCGTATCAATAACTCCCTTGTGCACCTCAATCTTCTCAGCCACACTCTAAATAATTATCAGAAATTATTTTAACGCGTGCTAATAATTACCGTTCATTAATATGCAAATATGTTAATGAGGTAGACATATTGTTTGCTTACAGCAATGTCAATGTCCAGCTGTTTGGCTTTCTTTTGGTCATTTTCTAGATCCTCTTTTAGCCTAAATTTTTTCAAAATTTTATAAACTGATTCAATCATTTATAATTTTATAGCAACAAACCAACTAATCCTAATCAGCCAACCGATCAGCCACAGACCAATCAGCCACACAACCAGCCAGCCAATCACAAGCCACCCAGCCAATCACAAGCCACCCACCTAATGATCTGTTCCTCCTTATCAGCTATGGCCTTATTTATCATCTTCAACTCCTTGAGAATCCACTTATCCCTCTCTTCTCGACTCTGGAACTGACTTCCTCTGCCTTGTTTTGCATACAGTTCCTTCCGACGTTGCTCGTTCAGAGCTAGTCTGTTGGTGAGAACATACACACACAGATACATACACACACACATACACACGCACGCACCTACACATACATATGCACGAGTGAGTTACAGTATGTAACAGCGGTCACAAAATAGGGATGTACTTTTGAAATTTTTACGCGAGACAGCATTCTCGAGAGACATACATTTCATATTTTATTTACGCACTTTATAAATCTCGACGACGACGACGATGATGATAACAACAACAATAATAATAACAATAATAATTAATAATAATAATAATTAATAATAATAATAATAATGGGATAAAAGAAGCTTTGTCGTCAGCCGGACATACTGGGCAGCTGCTGATTCCTCTTTGTGTCGCTCCTTTTCGAACTGCGGGCAGATGTCATCCAGCTGTTCCTTCGTTCTTTCAATCTTTTCCTTCAACTTCTGAATTTCTATTTCCATTTTTTTCTGTATGTGTGTGTGTGTGTATGTGTACATCCATGTGTGTGTCTGTGTGTGTGTGTGTGTGTGTGTGTGTGTGTGTGTACACCCATGAGTGTATGTGTGTGTAGCCAATGCGGAAAAATTAACCAATATATCAATCTTTCAATCGCTTAATCATTCCTTTACTTAATTACTCAATCAATCAATCAATCAAACATCCAACCAACAAATCAACCAATCAACCAATAACCAACCAACCAACCAACCAACCCTAACCCTCCAACCAACCCTAACCCTCTAACCAACCGACCGACCGACTAACCTTGCTACTGAAATCTCCCTCCAGTTCATCTTGCATATCCTTAACATTCAACTCCAATTTGGCCTTCTGCTTCGTCAAGTCCTGCAACTCACCGACCAAAGACTCTTTTTCATCGATTAATTCTTGCAATTTCGTCTTTTTCTCTCTGATATCTTTGGTGACAGTCTGTAGGGATATGTGTGTGTGTGTGTATGTTTAATGTATATGTGCGTGTACACACAAACAAACAAACATGCATACGAACATTCAAATACACATACAAATAAACATGCATACAAACAAGCATACATACTCTAATTTTGTCACTGGCTTCTTGTTGGGCATTCCTCAATTTTGTTGATTCGGATCCACTTTTCTCCCTCTTCTCTTGCAACTTTTCAAGTGAAATTTTTAATGGAATTATGAATAAGCATACTAATGAAATCATGAATAAACATGAATAAATATGCATATTAATGAAATTATGAATAGACATGCACATTCAACTGTGCACATTCAAACAAATAGAGTAAAATTATACAAAGTATAAATGGTTAAGACTGGCTTGCTATGCACACCATTCATTAATGCATTCTGTTTAATAATGATTTAAAAAATAATATTAAATAATAATGATGATGATGATGATGATGATGACCTCATCAAGTTTCCTCTTAGTGTCCTGTAGTTCGCGATCGTGAATGGTGTACTCGAGACCTCTGATTGGTTGGAAATTTAATTAGCACATATTAGAAAGTTTTTCATTGGTTGGGAAAGTGGGTAATATTTAAAATATTTGATCAATCAATCGACTGATGAATTTATCAAACAAGCAACCAATCGACCAACAAATCAATCAACCAGTCAACCAATGAATCAATCAACCAATCAAACAAACCGTCTCTGTTTATCTAATTTCTGATAAGCTTTTAACTCTTCTTTTTCGCCTTCCAGCTTAGCTAGACGTTCATTTATGTACTTCAAAAGTTCTTCAATCTTTTCGCACTTGCCCTCTGGTGATTGGGGACGAAATTTTAATTTTTTTTCTAATTTTTTCATTTACAAACTTTGATATTTATTCATAACACTGCTACTAATAATGTTTAGAATAAAATTGTAACTATTACCAACAATAATAATAATAATATTATAATTATAATAATTAATTATAGGTGAAAGAATTTTCAATGAAAAATAAATAATTAGACCAGACAGACCTGTCTCTCTCAATATAATTTTGCTTTCTTCTTTTCTTTCATCATAAACCCTGGTTCCTTTATTGAATGAAAGAATGAGTGAATGTGCGTATGAATGAATGAACGAATGTGTGAATGAATGAATGAAAGTTAAAAGAATGAATGAATGAGTAAATGTGTGAATGAATGTGAAAATGTATGTGTGAATAATGAATAAATTATGTTAATTACTAGCCTGCAACTTCTCTTAAAAGTTTCAACCTCTGCTGATCTGTGGCTGTAGCCATCTGAGTTATCTATAATATTAATTAAAAAGAAGCAAATATATGGTAAAATCTATAGGTGCTAAAAAACAAAAGTGAAAGTAACTTTAAAGAGTGAAAGTGAAACTAACTTTTCCTTGCTTAACAATGTAGTAAGGATTGCTTCGAGAAAACCCAGCTGTCTCCAGTAAATTCATTACATCTGTTTTCCTTGTAAAAATCAGGGAAGGAATTGAAAATAATTATCCATCACCGTCATCAATAAAGACAGGCTAACAAATATAATAATTTAGGTTAATCTGGATTATGAAACTCAAGAAGCAAGTCTAGATAATAATCTAAACATGACTCAATAAAATGTAATTAATCAATTAGTTTAAGTTATCTGGCAGAAATACTAACGTCACCATCTTCTTATCTAGAAAATATTGGTCCTTTTTGGAACCTATTACCCTCCTCAATGTAACCTCTTCCTTTTCTATCTGCATGATTCCATTTATTTATTTTTCTACTTATTTTCTATTTCAAACAAATCATTATTTATTCACACAAAAACACACACACAAACACACACACACAACAAAAACTACACTTACAGGAATCCTATTATCAGAATTGTCAAAGATGATCTCGACGAACGCTGAAATGACTCGGGGTCCAGTGCCTTCATGCAGAAGGGCCTGTCTCTGATCTTCCCTCAAATGACTAAACTCGTCAGAAAGAACAAACTGGATAGCTAAAATTAGGAAAACAGGGATGTACCAATTGAGAAAGTAAGGTTAAAGATGTGTGATGTTAGGAAAACTAAAATTAAGTTGAAAATGTACTTATTTATTAAGAAAGTTTAATTATAAATCTAGGGTATCTAACAAGTAACTACAGAGTTAGTGTTCAGTTAAATTAAGTTAAAATTTAGAGATGTTATTATTTTTGAATTTAGAGCTAAAAATTTTTTTTTAAATAAATATTTAATATTCTAATGTTAATTGTTAATTAAACCTACCGTAGAAAAAATTGCTTTTTCCTGATCCATTCCTTCCCACTGAAAAAACAAAATTATAAATTATGAAGCTTTCGTAATTACATTTTGTATATAAATTTTAAAACAAATTTAAATAAAAAAGCAATTAATTATGAAATAAACTAAATTTAAATTAATTAAATTAAACTAGAAACAGAGAGTTCCTACCAATAACATTGTGCCTGGGACTGAACGGCTCCACGACCGTCTGATCACGATAGCTTCTAAAACCTTGAATAATAACCTACGAGATTAAAAATTGCGGCCGTTAGTAAGGTCTCACTAATCAATTAGTTCACTAATCAAATTACAACAACAGGCATCGGATCAGACATCCACACCAACAAAATATCCAGAATGAAAAAATCCGAACCTGTTTGATGTGCATCGTTCGTTGTTGAAACAGTTGCGACAAGCGATCGAATTATTAAAATATTATTAAATTCGATCGGCAATGTCCTAATTTCACTAATTTTCACCTAAAACGTTTATTTGAAAAAAAAATTATGTTTATTGCCGCGACGCCGTGTTGACTTTTAGTTTTTTGTTGTGATTACAAATTGTTGTAAATTTAAAAGAGCTAAAAGACCAAATGTATAAACTATATACTTCAAGTGTTTGAAACAAAAAATTAACGGTTTAAAAGAAAAAATTGAATCATAAAACTTTAAATATAATAAAATTAATTCAAATAATACATTTTTTTATTTGAAAAACTAGGTACAATAGGTTTAAAGAATTGTTTTGATTAAGAAAATGAAATCCGCTTTTGTATCATTCATATTTTGTGCTTTCAAATAGATTGTGATTATGCTTGTTGTTGATGATGTTAAAAATGATGATGATGATGACGACGATGATGACGACGATGATGACGATGATGCTGCTGCTGCAGATCATGATGAGGATGAAGATGTTTCAATAAAAAATTTCCCGTTGTTTAATTAATCTCGTAAAATCTCATTTCTTAAAAATGACCAGATAGGAGAATGAAATTAGCGCGTTAATAAAAATTTTTGGAAAAAAAAATGAGGTAAGGAAGGGTATGGTGGAAGGAGTGAATGAATGAATGATAAATAAAGGAATGAATAAATAATTGAAAAAACGAACTAAGGAACGAATGAATGAATGAAGACAAAGAAAAGAAGATGTATGAATGAAATGAATGAATGACCGATCGAATGTATTAAATTATAAATATATATTTCAACGTATAAACATTTGAATGAATGAAAGAAGAAACAAATGAATGAACAAGTAAGTGAATGAATGAATGAATGAATTAACGAACGAACGAACGAACCAACCAAGTGGACCAACTGTTTATTCTGGCGCCATTAGTAACATGCAAAAAATAGCTGAACAAATTAATAATAATAAAGATAATTATGACAATAATAATTATAATTATAAACAATGATAAATATAGGCGTATGAACATTTTTAGTAAAAATGAATTCAAAAATTTCATCATGTAAAAGTAATCTGAATATTTCTCTTTTTAGCTCTTCTCATATTACCCCCTTTCTCTCTCTCACTCTCTCTCTTTCTCCTTCTCTATCTTTTCTTTTTCTTTTGTTTCTTTTTCTCTTTTCTGTCCGTCTCTTTTTTTTCTCTACCTACCTAGTTCTCTCTCTCTCTCTCTTTCTCTCTCTCTCTCTCTCTCTCTCTCTCCAGCCGTCGTTACCATGGAAGCAGCAGTTTTTGAGCCACATTTTGTTGACAACGCTTTTTAATAAATTGCTTTGTTTCCTGAGTCAGTGTTTCTTTTGTAACGGACCGATGGATGGATGAATGGATGAATGGATGGATGGATGGATGGATGGATGGATGGATGGATGGATGGATGGATGGATGGATGGATGGATTGATGGATGGATGGACGGATGGATGGATGGACGGACGGACGGATGGATGGATGGATGGATGGATGGATGGATGGATGGATGGATGGATGGATGGATGGATGGACGGACGGATGGATGGATGGATGGATGGATGGATGGATGGATGGATGGACGGACGGACAGACAAATGGATGGATGGATGGAAAAAAGCTGGAGAATAATGAAAAGGACTAAAGAGAGAGTAAAAAAGAAGAGAGAGAAAAAGTGTTGTAACAGTTTTATTGTGGTAGTCGCAGTAACATTTGTAGAAGAAGTAGTACCAACAGCAGTATCAGTAGTGATGGCACTAATAAAAACTTGAATAAATAACATGTTTGTATGTGTATGTGTGTGTTTGTGTGTGTGTATGTGTGTGTTTGTGTGTGTGTGTGTGGTTGTATGAATGCGTGGGAGTTTCGGTGCGTGCTAATACATGCAATCAGACATTGAAAATTTCTTTAATAGACAGGTTTGAATGACGAATTATAATTCATTCACGAAGAAAGAAATTTATTTTTTCTCTTTGGGTTTTTTTGTTTGTTTCTATGTTTTTTCATATTTATTTGTCTGTGGTGACGCATTTACAGTCTATGATAATAATTTTTTAATGTTGTTTTGTACTGACAGCAATGTATCCACAAAACTATGGCTTTCCATCTTTTCATTTGTAACAATCAACAAGCCAGAAACTGTTTTTAAGCATTTTTTTTCAAAAAAACAGACCCTGAAAATATCAAAAAAAATATTAAATTAACAATGGCACATGTCGACCAGGTGGCAAACAAAATTGTTTTTAAATCAAAAAATAATAAAATTCATTAAAAATGTAAAGTTCTGCTCGCCATTAATTCCATTTTAAAGTACAGCAGTCTGATTAGCTAGTATCGTGTCACATCTCTCTTACGTCACATTCTAGAAATTATTTCACCACTCCAACGTAACGTCATGCACGTAAATTTTTATAGCGCATATATACTTCCGCATATTACTCTAGCGCTTCACCGTTAGATCACATTCTCATGAAATATTCCAGCACATCCTTTTTTATTACGTCACAACTTTTATTATTTTGTCACATCTCTCTGACGTCAAACAAGCACTTACTAGTTCACAATCATCATCATCATCAGCCTCGATACAACAATCATCATCATCATCACGTCACACGCACACGCACGCACGCACGCACACGCACACAAAAATAGCTCAATACATGCCGCTCTTGATATAGCGATTAGAATACCCAAGACTATTATAGAAACTGACCTTGACCTTGAAACAAAGCCTCTTTAATTCATTTCGAAACTGCCTAGCACACGCGCAATAGACGAAAAAATTAACCGCGAAGTTTAGAACATGCGAGAACTGGAAGAGTTTGCTCATATTATGCAGGTTGACACGCGCCATGTCGAAGATGTCACAGAAGAGGTACATGACTTTGACGACGTTGTGGGGTAGGTTGAGAAGGACCGTCAGACTTGAGAGGGTCAGCAGCATTTTGGCTGTTCTCAGCTGACTACCATCTGATTTGATGCTGTGCTTCATGTGTTTGTTGGCGAGGTGGTTGCTGCTGGTTGGGATTGTCTTTGCTATGGTGTTGTTGCTGTTGTTGTTGTTGGTGTTGTTGATGTTGTTGTTACTGATACTAATGTTGTTGCTGTTTTTGTTGTTGTTGTTGTTGTAATGAAATTTATTACTGAAAGTTGTTGATGCAGGCGGCATGAATTGCGATCTACATAAATTCATTAATCTAGCATTAGTCATCCTCTCTAGTTTATCGTTTTTTGTACAACAAATTTTGTTGTTGATGTTGTTGTTGATGTTGTTGCTGTTGTTGTTGTTGATGTTGTTTCTGTTGATGTTGCTGGCAAATTTTATCTTCATAGTTGGCGGGATGTACATAAATTCATTAACTTTCGTCGATGTGTGTTTATGTCTGATGCACATTGCTGTCGTTGCTGTTGTTGTTGCTGTTGTTGTTGGTGTTGTTGTTGACGCAGCTGCTGATGATGACGGTGTAAATGATGATGATGTTATTGTTGTTGTTGTTGTTGCTGTTGTTGCTATTATTAATTGAAAGCCATGTTTCCGATTGCACTGCGTGAGTTCATTAGCAGAATTAAAAATGTGCTCAGAAAGTTCGATTGGTTTTTTGTTTTTGTTGTCGTTGTTGAAGTTGTTGTTGTTGATGATGTTGTTGTTGACGTTGTTGTCAGCGGCAAAGTCAAAACAACTAGTTGACGATTTTATATAAGCTTGTTTTTTTGGTTGTTGTTGATGTTGTTGTTGCTGATGTTGTTGTTGCTGATGTTGTTGTTGTTGTTGATGATGTTGTAGTTGATGTTGTAGTTGATGTTGTAGTTGATGTTGTAAATGTTGATGAAGTTGTTTTGTTTGTTCGTTTCGACGGTTACTCTTTCGCGGAAATGTATTGGCCTGGTTGCACGTGATGTGGCTAATGGGTCTGCTGACGATGACGTCATTGTTGTTGTTGTTGTTTAGGATGTTGTTGTCGTCATTGTTGTTGTTTAGAATGTTGTTGTCGTTGTTGTTATTGTATTTGCAGGGTTTATTGTGGTGATGGTAATTGTTGTAGACGGGCGGTCGTTTGCTAAGCGGATGTTGTTTTTTCGAAAGAATAAAGTTGTTGTTGTTATTATTATTGTAGTTGTTGTTGCTGCTGCTGTTGTTGTTGTTATTGTTATTATAAATATTGTTGTTGTTGTAGCTATGAAAATTATCGAAGACATGTTTTTTTGTTGAGGTTGATGGCATCATTTCAATATTTCTACTACCACAGCCGTCGTCATCATTATCAGCAGCAGCAGCAGTAGAAGCAGCAGCAGTAGCAGCTGTAGCAGCAATAGCAGCATGATCATAACAATAATAATCATAATAATAATAATAATCATTCATCGAATGACAACCTCTAAAATTTAATTTTACACCTTTGTTTTTATACCTCTTATTATTACAGATATAAGTTTTGTAGAATTTGTTGCTATTGTAATTTATGTTATTGTTGTTATTGTCGTTATTAATGTTATTGATGTTGTTGTTGTTGTTGTTGTTGCTACACCTGCAATTAACAGCATGGTTATAGTGAACGTTTTTGGAACTGGAGTATTTGTAATACAACCTGCTATCATATACCTCCTTCCCAATCTGCCTATGGCGTTGGTATTTTTTTATTTTCACAACAATACCGGCGTTCAATACGAATACCAGAACCGTCGGTATAGCACAGGAGAGAACCGTATCTATGCCGGTAATTATTTTGAAGTTGATCGCCTCGAGAGCCGGTACGCACATGAAGTAATAATCCATAATCATCATGGTGCGATAGTTCCAGAGGGAATGGATGTTAAAAAAGACGGAACATAATATCGTCACCGTGACGGTATAGAGAGCTTTTTGGCGAGTGCAAAGAACATCTTTGAGGAGTGGTACTTTTACAGTGATGTACCTTTCTGCGGTAAAACTAACAACACTCCAGGCGGCGATGAACTCGCAAATTCGGTATAAAAATGACGTAATAGGACATACGCATTGACTGACTAAGAAGGAGAATCCTAAAATGCGATCCAACCAAGTAAATGACATTGCTATCAGGTAGAGAATGTTACCAAACGATAGAACCGCCAAATACAGACTCGATGTTATCCGGTTGAGATGCGTTGTTGAGAATACCGATAGAGACAGTACATTACCGATTATGCCGACGATTATCACGATCGGATTGAGGTAAGTTTCGAGAAAACTGACTAACGGTTCGAATGTCAATTCGCCCTGTAGCTGTATGTAAGCTGATATGTTACTGACGTTAAAGTGGAATAATGATAGGTTGAAGAAATCCATTTTTGTTGTTATTAATATTATTATTAACTTATTATTATTATTAACTTATTATTATTATTGTTGTTGTTGTTGTTGACGTTGTTGTTGATGTTGAAGTTGTTGTTGTTGATGTTGAAGTTGTTGTTGTTGATGTTGAAGTTGATGATGTTGAAGTTGTTGTTGTTGATGTTGATGGTTTTCTCGATAATGTCTACCTGGGATGAAATAAGAAATCTACTTTTGTGAGCTTTAATATACCAAAAAAAGTTAATAAAAATATTTTAAAAAATAAATTTAGCTAGCGCTTCATAAAACGTTTGAATGCACGCGTCGTCAATCAATTATAGGTATTTCCTTCATTTATTTTTCAATTCAGTGTAAACTGAAGACACATCTTCATGCCTGTTAAATCTTGAGTGAAAGGAATTTTTGCAATAAAAGGCAGCTGTAGTAGCAGTAGTAGTAGCAGTAGTAGTAGCAGTAGTAGTAGCAGTAGTAGTAGCAGTAGTAGTAGTAGTAGCAGTAGTAGTAGCAGCAGTAGTAGTAGTAGCAGTAGTAGTAGCAGTAGTAGTAGCAGTAGTAGTAGTAGCAGTTAGTTGCGGTTAAAATTTTACTTGGTCAAAACTATTTTGCATGTCAAAAATATCATGTTTGACACGAAGCTGTCAACTATAATAGTAATAACAACATCATTAATAATAATAATAATAACAATAATAATAATAATGACGATGAATAATATTAATTTAAAACAGTTGAAAAATCTAAAAATAATATTTGCGACAAGGTGGATTAAAATTCCGAGACATGAGAGAAAAAAATGAATTTTATAAAATATACCACTAAATAAATAAATAAATAAATAATCATAATAATCATAATGCACAACTGATTTTCTATCTTCAAAAGATTATTTAAGTTGCGAATGAAATATTTAACGTGTGTGAAAGAAAATAATATGCATAATAAAATAATAATAATAATAGATGAAACTAAAAAAGTTAACTAGAAAAATGAAACTTTTAAGAACACGGTACTCTCTGAAATGTTTATTTTATTGTCAAAAATTTGAACGAAAGAAAGAATAATCGAATGAATGGATGGACAGATGAATGGAAGAATAGTGAATGAATGAACGAATGACG